AAAAACCTAATAACAAATTATATAAAAAAAAAGGTAGAATTAAAAAAAAATTCTACAAAGAAATATTATGGGCAATCTCACGCAGGAATTCCATGAGCGTCCTATTATTACAATCATTAAATATTGATTGAATACATTTTTCGCATTCAATAGTTTGTCGCCTTTGTGCTGGTCTTGGCACACCTCTTAAGATTGCTTCAATATTGAGCTCAATTTGGTTCTGTTCTTTCTGTAGTTCTTTGATTATTCTAAATACACTAATGTGAGCAGAGCTTACTAATGTCTCCCACCGCCTATGCTATGCCTCGACTGAATTCTGAGTCCTAGGGTATACGAATTCGACGGTATTGGCTACCGACCAGCAATTAGGAGAAAATAATGGTTCAGATCTAATCACATTACCGTTCTTATATATAGATTGTAATTATAGTAAGTTATTGTAATTTTGTAATTATGTTAAATAAGTAAATGGGTGTTGCAGAGTAAAAACATATAAGTAAATATTTATGTTATCACTGTAGCAGACCGCTAGAGTGATAACCTAAATATTTACTTACATGTTTTTACTCTGCAGTAAGTAAAATCACATAAAATGTAAAATTGTATCGCGTCAAATGACGTTCCCAGATAATTATGTCGTGAGGTTAAAAAACAAAAAACAAAAAACAAAAAAAAGTAAAATTGTAACACAACCTACCTATGTGTACACCTAATTTTTCCATGTACATAATAATCCTCAAACTACTGCATGACCTCATGGGCTTCAGATAGAATAATAGAATTCAATTCGTCGAACGCATCTGGTATTTCATTATATGGCAAAAACGTGAGAGCGGGAATATACCTTATTAGTAAACTAAAGGGTTCGTTAGTACTATAACGTGAAGAAAGCTCGCAGTTTTGAACTTTACGATAAATGCTTTGAGCTAGATAGAAGTGGCACCCCTTACTTTGGACATTATCGAACTCTAATTGAACAGCATTTATAGCAGTACTCTCAAAATCTGTTAAGATTATTTGAGGCTGCAAATCAATATTATGCATTTCCCCAAAATCTATTAGTCTTTGAAATAATCTTCTATATGATTCTTCTGACTTATTAGTCATTAAACAAAATACTAGAGGCATAACCCTAGAATTATCTCTCCCGCCAACACACCCTAAAACAGATCATTATAAATAAAGATTAAAAAAAAATTTAAAAATTAAAAATTAAAAATCAAATTAAATTAAATTTTATTATTAATTTTTTTTTAATTTTTATTAATTTTTTTTTTTTTATTAAATTAAAAAATTAAAGATTAAAAAAAAAAATTAATAAAATTAAAAATAATTTAATTTAATTTAATAAAAAAAAATTAAATTAATAAAATTAAAAATTAAAAATTAAATTAAATTAAATTATTTTTTAATTTTATTATTAATTTAATTTTTTTTTTAATTTTTATTAATTTTTTTTTTTTAATTTTATTAATTTAATTTTTTTTTATTAAATTAAATTAAATTATTTTTTATTATTATTAATTTAAAAAAACACACCGTGAATAGTATATAATTGCTTGAATATAATGGGAATAGTTTTAAAGGTCCCATCCATGATCCAATACGGAGATTAATTTAGATAACAAATATTATTAGAAGTCATAAAAATAAGCATTTTATTATGACCAATAGTAGTATCATTAATTAAGAAGTCAGATCTATTAAAGTTTTTCTTAGGTACTCAGAGATAATAAGACTCTCTAAAGATACTGGTTCTGTGGGAAGATCAAGGTGACGAATCCTTTGAATGGTTTGCCTAAGGGCATTGGTTAATAGAAGATATAGATATACGTATTGAGAGCTGTTAACGATCACTGTTTGCATAATCTGGGCTGGCTTATCATGTGTTTGTTATGCTTGTTCCTTAATCCTAGCTATTGTCTTTACAACTTTTAGTCTGCTCACATCAGCTGAATGATTATGATCTGATACATCCTTAAGATAATGTTGATTATTCTCTAATTAAGTTACGGCTCTCCCATTACACTTAAGCGTATCCCATTTTTCGCAATACTAGTAGAATGTATTTTTGCAACTCTTATCTTTATTCATTAGAAACCCATTAATTTTAATTTTATCTTTGCTGCGAACTGAAGGAATGACTTCACAAATAACATTCATTTTATACTGTATATAAGTTATGTAAGAAAATTAAAAGAAATATAATTAGCACAAGATTAAAAAAAAAAAAAAAAAAAAAAGGTAATATATATATAAATTTTATAAATTATGACGTCCCTGAATAACACGATTAGAGGTTTTAATAAAATAAAATAAAATAAAATAAAAAAAAAATTATATAAATTTATTACTTATAAAACTTGACTTACGTAACTATCAACACAAATTATGAACCTCAAAGAAGCATAAAAATTCTTGTAATTTCACCTTATTAGGTGACATGTGATAAAATATTATTCTACGGGATTATTCTTTTCTTATTTTATTAAATATCATAGTTAGATACTCTTCACGTAAACTTTTACTTAATATAAACATTCCCAGATGATATCATTATAACTTTCCTACTTTATTACCTGATTTTATAACAGCACTCTATTTAATGATATTTAAAAATTAATGATTTGCTAAATAAAGTGTTTAATATGACTATCGAAGTTTTTTGTAATAGAAAACTTACTTTATTTGGACGTTAATTTGCGATACATATTAAGAAAAAGAGTAACATTAGGATCATATTTATTATGTAAATATGTATAGGGTATACATGACGAACTAGTTAATAGTCAAAATCAAGTCATTCGATTATTATTGTTATGTAATAACGATAAAGTTTAATTAATATATTAAAAGAACCTGACATTATTGGCCACTAT